CCCCAAAACCCCAAAACCCCAAAACCCCAAAACCCCATTTTGGGAATTTTGAATTGAAATCTTTTATAAATCATGTCTGACATCGAGAATTTACCCAAAGTTATTATGCTCGCAAGGGAAAATGCAATTTTGGGAAATTATGTAGAGAGTATTAAGCATTATGAGGATGGAGTCAGCACTATAAATTCTTTTATGAATACTTATGCACCTAGAGCTACGAAGGAGCAGTGGAAAGTTGTGGAAAGTTCCATACAGAATGAGCTAGGTAAATTTTAAAATAACTTCTGTAGTGCACGTGAAAGAAATTGTTTCTATAAATGATGAGTTTATTACTAGCTTTGGTGCTGGTCCAAAATCTAGTCATGGTGGAGGAGGAAAATCTGTGAATAATAATTTTCCAAATGTTGAAATTGTCACTCCAGAGAATAAATATATGATGAAACCTCCTGCTCCTGCCCCACCTCCAATGAGTCATAAGCCGCCTACTTACAACCAATTTAGAGGAGGTGATCCCTATTCAAATCCTAAAGGTAGCCCTGGCCAGTACTTTGGTAAAGATATTAATGGGAGCAATGAAAATGGGAATAACTTTTATGTACAAAATAGAAATCCAGCTCATTTTCAGGAAGAAAAAGACCCCGATGTTTGGGATCCTCCTTCACCTTCAAGACAAAATGCAATGAACAGGAGGCAGGGTTCAAAATGGAACAGTAAGAATCGAAAACCAGCTGTGAAGAGAGTTGCTAGTCAAAAGAGGCCTCCACCTATGCCTTCAGGTGCAAGGCCTCCGAAAGAAGAGAGTAAGAGGAAGAAGAATACAACTAAGCCATGGGATGCAGAAGGACCTAAGAAGAGAGGCGGAGGAAAACAAAAGAAAGCAGAATCATTCCTATATCATTGCTACCCTGATGGAGTTGGTCCTGACACTGATCTTATCAGTATGCTTGAGAAAGATGTCCTCGATAAAAATCCTCAGGTTAGTTTTGATGATATAGCTGATTTGGATGACGCTAAAAATACTTTACAAGAAGCTGTTCTCCTCCCTATTTTGATGCCACATTATTTCAAAGGTATCAGAAGACCATGGAGAGGAGTGCTCTTGTTCGGTCCACCAGGTACGGGTAAGACAATGCTGGCTAAAGCTGTGGCTACTCAAGGGAAAACAACTTTCTTCAACGTGTCAGCCTCAAGTCTTGCTTCTAAATGGAGAGGGGAGTCTGAGAAATTAGTCAGGATTTTATTCGAAATGGCTAGATTCTATGCCCCAAGTGTAATATTTATTGATGAAATGGACTCTATCGCATCAAAAAGATCTTCAAATGAGCATGAAGCAAACAGAAAAGTAAAATCTGAGCTTCTAATCCAGATGGATGGCGCTAATGTTGCAAGTAGTGCTGGAGGAGACGAGAAGCTTGATGAAAGCGAGAGAGGTAAATCAGTCCTTGTCCTCGCAGCTACCAATCGGCCTTGGGATCTAGATGAAGCTATTAGAAGAAGATTAGAGAAAAGAATTTACATTCCACTTCCTACAGAGGAAGGATTGAGACAGTTGTTCAAGATTAATTTGAAAGGAATCAGAGGGGGTGAGGATATTTCAATCTCAGAGTTGTTAAAATAAGTGTAAAGGATTTTCAGGAGCAGACATAGCTATTCTATGCCGTGAGGCAGCAATGATGCCAATGAGGAGGAAGCTAGCCTCTGGAAAAGTTAACTTTTATGAATTAGCAAAGATGGAGAAGGAGTTAGACGTACCTATAGAACTTCAGGACTTTAAGGAAGCACTCAAGAATATTTCAAAATCAGTGAGCAAGGATAATCTACTAGACTATGCAAAGTGGATGGACGAATTTGGATGAAAATAAATTTGACTCTAAAATTTCAATCTAAGATATTTCTCAGGGGTTTTGGGGTTTTGGGGTTTTGGGGTTTTGGGG